TTTTAAACAATGTTTTTGTGTTTCTTAGGTGAGGAATTCGACCAAGAGGTATGCCATTTATTAACTCTCCTTTTTCTTTATTTTAATAAATAGGTAATTGATTATTTTACATATGGATTCTTTGGAAAAAAAAACAGTAAGGGAAAAAAAGGATGAATTTAGAATTAGAATATCTGTCATTATCCAAGAAGAACAAGTTACACAAGGATGGATTCTTTGTGCAGACCAAAAGACCTTGTGTAAAAGACTTGGTTGCTACTTGGAATAGTTTGAGTAATCTTGACAAAGTGAATTTTACTAGTGGAGAAAAAGCAAGTTCCTCAATAAAAAGAAGAAAAGATATGAGGGAGGCAATCTCCTCATTATTTTCCTTTTATTTAAAAAAAAATTCTAAAAGATTATGAAGGGGGCAATCTCCTCATGTTTCTGGCTGACGTGACAGTTGCTTGGCTCTAATTTCTCATTGCCTTTACATACAAATGGCTGAAGCTGTTTTTGACAATGAAGAATCCATGTGTAAAAATAAAAATAAATAATTAGGAGTTAGGAACTTTGGGAACTTATCTTTCAAAATACCAATTAGATAAATTCATGATTTGTTAATAATGCTCATATTTTCTTTAGGTGTTGAAAGATTGGTCCTAAAAAGAATTATCCAAGAGTTCGTTCACCTATTCTCACTAGAGCTCTTGCAAGGAAGATGGCTGACGAAGCTAATTTAGAGAAGGTTGCTTTGGAAAATCGTGTTGAAAATATGGAAAATACTTTGAAGGAATTGATGGCTTCCTTCCAATCTCTTCAAGCAACCTTAGTCACAAGGGCACCTTTGACAACAAGTCCCTTGTTTGAAGGAAATGTTTCTATGCCAAATCTCCCTATCGCCACATCTACTCTTGGAAAGGAGCCAATGTCATCTTGCCCACCAAATCCAACTATTGGTGGAACTTCTAGGACAAAGCCATTTGTTCTAAATGCTGGTGTTGCTACAGTTCAATCTAATGATCAAGAAGAGACTCAAGTTGTCAAGTCAATCACAGCGGATGAAGACAAGGCAATTAAAGCGAAGGTGCAGTTGATGGAGGAAACACTAAAATCGATGCAAGGTGTCCAAACCAATAAACCGGTTGACATCTCATCTTTGTGCTTTTTCCCAAACATTCAATTGCCCCATAAGTTTAAATTGCCTGAGTTTGATAAGTACAATGGCACTGGTTGTCCTTATGCCCACTTGATGATGTATTGTAGGAAGATGGCTCCTTATGCCAATGACGAGAAGCTAATGATACATTACTTTCAAGACAGTCTGACAGGTCCTTCAGATGCTTGGTTCTCAACTTTAGACAAGAGTAAAGTTAAGAGTTGGCATGATTTGACTCACAACTTTATGAAGCAATATGAATACAATACATCATTAGCTCCTAGTAGAGAGGATCTTCAAAAGATAGAAAAGAAACCAAGTGAGAGCTTTAAGGAATTTGCACAGAGATGGCGTGGATTGGCTGCTTGAGTTCAACCGCCACTAACTGACCATGAATTGAGTAATTTATTCATCAAGTCAACTAAAGGGCCTTATCGTGAGAAGTTAATAACTTGTGTGAATTACACTTTTGCTCAGTTGGTGTTGTGGGAAAACAACTGGAGGATGAGATCAAGTCTGGAATTATCATGGATTATCAAGCAATGAAGAGTCTCCTTGAACAATACCAAAATGATAGTTCAAGGGTTTCTAGTTCAAAGAAAGTGGGCCAGAATCAAAAGAAGGAGAATGAGAATAGCACTATAAGTTCAGTTTATGAGGCGCATAATCAGTCACGGGGGCAGTTTAACAATCGGTTCCAAGCTCCAACTTATCAATCAACGACTTTCACAAGTCAATCAAGGCCCGTTTATGCCTCTTGGACAAGTCGTCCACAACAAGAGAAAAAGAGACGCTATTTTGATAAACTTCCGATGTCATATACTGAAGTGTTTCGACAGTTGATAGCAGCTAGGCTTGTTACCCCTGTACCTATGGTGCCATTAAATCCACCATTTCCAATATGGTATAACCCACAAGCAAGATGTGAATACCATAGTGGGGGTGTTGGGCATGACCTTGAAAATTGTCTTGCTTTAAAGCACCATGTCCAAGATTTGATAGATGTAAAGGAGTTACAAATTACATCAGAACCTGAGGTTGTTGGTCCAAATATCACTAAAAACCCTTTACCCACACATGATGGTCCAATGGTTAATATGATCGAGAAAGATTCCGATAAAGGTCATGAGGTGACTACGTCAACAAATAATGATGGTTTGAGCACTTCTTTTGAGAAGTTGAGCATATGTGTCATTGGTGAAGGAAGGGGCGATGACAAGCTTACTCTACCTACTCATGGTGAAGCTTTAGACAACAAGACAGTAGAGATTCTTCCTGTTCCTATCATTAAACTGTAAGATGTGTCAATCTTCTTATGGTTGAGCTTGTGACCATGAGGAGAGATGGTTAAAACAAGCCTTCTATATTTTATGAAGCATTGTAGGCGTGACAAATAGTGTTCCATTTAGTTCATTTCAATCAATGATGTTACTTTCATTTTCATTCCCTCTCTTCATATGCAAGATTGTTCATTTTCTTTTGCTCAAATTTCTCATGCTAGCCAAAATTTCCATCTTCAAGTTTGTTGATAATAAATCCACAAATAGTGATATCATTCTTGAACTTACACATAGTTTTGATGAACTGATTTATTCTATGGAAGATGATGAAGAATTAGAACCTTTTTCTTGAATTGACTGACATGTTGAAAGAAGAAGAACCCAAATTGCAGCCTTATCAGAATGGCTACAACATAAAATAGGGAGGTCAGGCCTCGAAGGTTTCAATAAAGAGATGTTGTTTTGAAGAAAAAGATGAAGGTTTGAAGGAAAAGATGTTTTGAAGAAAATTCTACCCAATGAGAGGGATCTAAGGGGAAATTTTGCTCCAAACTACAACACTCTTTACATCATAAAGGCAGCTTTTTCAAGAGCAGTTTTATTATTAGCTTATCTTGATGGAGATGATCTTCCACATCCAGTGAATGTAGATGTGGTCAAAAAAATACTGTGTTAAAAAAAAAAAGAGAGAGAGGAAAAGAGGCTAGGCTGAAGACCTAATGGGGTAGTCTAGGCAAAATAAAGAAAAAGTGTTCATGATGAGGAAGTAAAGAATCCAATGACGAAAGGCTATTCTTCTTTATCCTTTGATCATGGAAATTATCCTTAGAAACCCTTTTTGAGCCAAAAGAAAAGGCAATCGTCTAACTTATAAAAGCCTGACGATTTTATTTCTAAATTGTCCTACATCAAGAGCCTGGGGTGAAAAGAGTGTTAGTGAGGGGATTCAATGGGAAAAGGGAATTTTGAGCCATTTTGTCCTTTCTTTCTAATTAGCTGAGCCCTAAACCATGATACAAGCCAATGTAAAGTCCTTATCAGAGGATTTGTAGCTTGCTCATTTATGAACACAAAAAAAAAAAAAAAAGAGAGAAGAAGAAGTGGGGGCAAGGTCTAAGTTGAAAACCTGA